GTCCACATCCTCAATTTTTTCATTCTTTTAAATCATGAAGATTTTACCTGGGTGTTGAATTTCATCATGTCTCACAGGTTTTGATACATAGCATTTCCTGTTTGCTATATTCTATCTAGTCTTTCCTTTCATTTTTTATTTCCGTCTCAATCCAATAATTATTTAGGAGGGAGTTCATAGATTTCTAAGTACTTGGGCATTTTAAAATGTTTAGCAATAATTTCTTTTTGAGGTCTATTGTAAGGAGATGTCCAATTTTTGCTTTGTTAACCAACTGGGATTATCATAGAGGCGTAAAATAGGATGAATTTGTGATTCAATGCCACTTGTACCATAGATATATTCCCTAAATACCAGAAACCAAATTCAATGTAAATTACTTCTTCCTATCTTATTAATTATATTTTTCAACTTTTCTATTTTTGTTTGCTTTTCACATCTAAGAAGGAACAACTTCCCCAGAAGCCCTACTCTTTCTCCAGAAGGCACGTCTCTCCCCTTCCTTTATGAGTTTCTCTTGACGTGCTCCTTTTCCAATTCCCCAGAGTCTTTACAAAAAGGGGAGGCAGATGTTTCGGGATCGGTCAAGGAGATTTGGTGGAGTGAAGGAATCTGTTCATTTCACTCTTCATTTTACCTCAAGCCTTGGCCTTAACATCATATAGGCTTCTTAATTTATTATTCAGCCTATAACTTACATTCTCTGGGATTAAAAATTAAACTTTCATTACTATCTTACATGTCCTTTGCTTAGAGTTCTGATAGCTTAAATCACTTATGAAATATTAATGAGAGAAACTTCTTTTTATTCTGGAAAGATGCTTCTGTCACATTCATTGAACTATTTTATACACTTGAACATTCTTTTAGACAAAAACAGATGGACTAACAGTTGATCTGTTCTTCTATTCATTCTTTTGTAGCCACGTCACATCTTCCCTGAGCAATGTGTGTTTTTAGAAGTAGAAACTTTACTTGAGACAGATACATAAATCTAAGGAAATGTAAATGTCTGCTTCTTGTTTAAAAAGAAAAGAAAAAGGAAAAGAAAGACATGCTATTTTGGGTTTGGGCAATATCATACACATTTTGCAGTTAAAATTTATTTTCAAATGAATGTTGATGGAGCTCTCCTACTGAGCAAAAAGTAAGTCTTTCAAAACCACACGTCCATGAAAGATATACACTAGACAATTGTATCTTAATCTTCATTTAAAGGGTATGTTTGCATGGCCACAAAGCATCTGGAACCACATAATGAGAAGATTTGTGATTCCTAAGAGTGTACCTATTCACACTCAAAAGAAAATTCCTTATTATAATTCTCCCACATCTCTTTAGCATTCCCTCTCTGCTCTTCATTATTTTTAAAACTTGGGGTGGTCTGATTTCACTCATAAATAGGGTTAGTAAATGACAAAGTCATCTCCCCTCTAAACCGCCAAAGTATTGGAAACACCATCATATTTTTATTTTATTCCTTTGCATAAATATTTCACTTTTTAAATATAGCTTTTAAAAATGAAGTCACCATTTTGGGGAGCAACATATTGAGTCCCAATGTCATTTGAATTTGGTTCCTGTATCACTTTCTTCTACAACTATTATCTGAAGAATATCAAGAGAAGTAGACATACTTTAAAAAAAAAAAAAGGGTTCAGTTTACAAATTTTCCCAATGAATAGAGAAGATTTAATGACAAGAACTTTGATATAAGTCAATATATGTCTAGACAGAAACCCCAAGAGGTACATCTAGGTTCTATTTTGATAATAACTAGAGTTTGACCTTTGTGGGCCTCTGTTTCCTCATTTGTAAAATTAAGGATTTGGATTAGATGACCTTTGGGATTCTTCCTGATTATAAAATTCCACAAATTGACTGGCTGTATTTCTTTAGATTGGTCAAAGAGATAATAGAAAAAAATCTTCTCAGCTGTTTAAATCACCATATATCTTCTGTGCTTCTGAATAATAGAGATCTTTTATTTTTTTTTCCATCAACAACCCTTAAGGGAAATTTGATCGAGACGTTGCAGGCATGTGGTTACATCAGAATGTGGATAGCTCTATGGCCAGCCATGAAAGTGCCTTATTGTTGGTCTCTGAACGGATAAGTTCAAGGCAAGAGTTAAAAATTTGGTCTAGGAAAATCTTGTACTCATATGTTTTTAATTCCTAAATTCTTTTATCATTCATTTCCTTGATTTTATCCTCACAAAGTGCAGAGGAATAGGTAGGGCATCTTACTGAAGTAGGAACTGAAGGATCCAGATGAAGAATTGTCCAAGGTCATACAGTCATCTAATGGCAGAACCAAAATAAGAGCTTAGATGAATTAACTCCAATCCCATTCTGGCTACAAAACAGTCTGCCATTCTGGTTTACAGAATTAAACTCTTTCAATGCCAGCTTTATGATTTTTTTTTTCTGATAACTATTCAGAGGAGTTCATTAACTCCTCACTGAATGCGGGGAACGTGGCCAGTGTTCCCTGCAAAAAACCGGATCCCTTTGGTAGAGTTGCAAGGGATAAGAAAATAATAGAGAGAAATGGAAAATGGAAGAAATAAAAGAATACACTGAGACAAAGATATAGTTTTATAAGTTTATAAAGATTATAGGCAAAGTGGGAGCTCAGGGGGCTCGGACCTCTCCGTTGGTCTCAAAAAGCCCTGAATGAGGTCTTACATGGTAACTTATAGAAAATAGTGAACAATTGTCAGGGGTAACAAATTTACATAACAACAGGTAGTATCTCTCAGGTTAACAGATTTTCAAAAGGCTTTTACAGAAGGCTTCTACAGATTCTTTAACTAATTCTATTTACCGGAGTAAACGGTTACAAAGTCTTTCAAAGGTTAATTTCTAAATTCTAAGGTAAGTTTGTCATTTAAACAGAGGGGTTAAACAGAGATATGTAAGCTCCATGTTTATTAGGTTATTGTGAATGGAAACAGGTAGTCTAGAGTGGTTTAAACAAAAGCTTTGCTTTCAGCCATCTGGGAAGCTGTCCTTTCTGGGAAGCTGTTTGTTCCAGAGGGCACTCCATTGTCAGCTCTCAGTCTATAGTTTTTAACAGATTCGCTTGTGCTTTACAAAGCAAATCCAATTCTTTAGGTCTGAGAAACGCAGCGCCTCGTGGGATACAGCCGCTACTGCCTTTCAGAGACGCCCTTCCAGTGTAACAGCATATAAAATGCAAACCAGCACATTCACCTATTCCTTCAGGGCAAAGCTCTGTAAAACTCCTAAGACAGATCCTGTCCCCAGACACGTTTAACACTAATTCATGGAGCAACAGCTGAAGTTCAATGATAATGTTCTGCAAAGCCAAAGAGAGGATACATCATTCCAGGTGCTTTGATGGCTCTTTAGAGCCATTAGAACCACCATAAAGGATCTAATAGAAAGGTACCCAAATTTCCCAGAAAATCAGGGCTACAGTCTTGCCTATCTGAGAAATACCACTGGACCCAGCTCCATGTTTTAGTCCTATGATCAAAGAGCCAGGTGTGGAATTGGGAAATTCATGAGACCTTCCTCGCTATACCTCTTGTAGTCAAAGTCACACTACTGCATTTCCATTCTTATCAGAGTTTGGCACAACCGGATCTCCTAAATTCAAATCCGTCTGCACCACTTGCTAGACATGTAACTGTGGGCAAGTAACTTAACTCCTCTGGGCTTCAGTTTCTTGAGATTAAAATAGAAATAATAATGGTCGTTGTGGGGATTCAATGAATTAACTCCTATAAATCACTTACCGTACCTGGCAGGCAGAAAGCAAACAGTAAACATTATCCACTTGATTTATTATAGTATTTTAAAGTCTTAGAACAGTGTGTGGTGCATAGTGATCACTCTCTAATTGTGAGCTATTTTTACTGTTCTCAAAGTAAAAAACAAATGTTGGAAATTTAATTTTTATTTACACAAAAATAATTAAAATTACTCCATAGTGTAAAACTTTAATGTAATTTATAAGAGACTTTATAAAACCTAAATTGAATGAATATACCCATTTACCTCATGATCTGAAATAAAAATTTCTGAATTAAAAAAATACATATTGCTGTAGGGCCTATGGTCAATGTTCTTCTTCAACTAAGTCTAGATCTCATGTTAAAGTTCTGTTTTTTGTTTTTTGTTTTTTTTTTGTCTAAACATAGAGGGAAGAAGATAGGTGATTAGCTAGGTTTTTCTTGGATGAATAAATTGATTTAATTCACAGAAACAAACAAAACTATAATTACCTCTCTGAATTTATGTGAAACAATTATGCTCAACAAAAAATGTTTTGTTTCTCTTGCTCAACACTTTAATTTGTGGCTTGACCAATAATTAAGCAAAAGAAATACCAGGCCCAGCAAACAAAAACTGCCTGTCTCTGGTTCAAATATTCCCTTTATTATAACCATTACCCACATTTAAATCAAAGTTAAAGTTTTCTGGCAGATGGCAGGCGGGACCAATGAAGGAAAAAATCTAACTCCCAAAATAAGAGTTATTCAATACTTTAGCTGAACTCTCTGCCACTGACTAGCTGGGTCACCTGGGCAAATCTCTTAACTTCTCTGGAGTTCCCTCACGTATAAAATTATCCTAGAGAATCTCCGAAATCTTTATCCTATTAGCCTTACTTATTTTGCCTGCACCTTAGTTATTAGGGCTCAGTTTAATAGCCTGCAATTTAGCATCGTTATGAGTTTCTAGTGTAAGACTTTTCTCTTTGTCCTTTGCTGATCTGTTTTACGCAGATTCTTTCATAATCTCTAGGACAGTTGTTCCCAGACTCTAACCTGCAGGAGAATCACCTGGGGGCCTGTTATCATAATAAAACACAAGATGCTGATCCCACCCCTCAAGGTTCTGACTCAGTAGGTCTAGGAAAGGGTATAAAATTGCATTTCTAATAAGATCTTAGGTGATCTGAGTGCTGCTAGCCCAACCACCATTTGAAGACCACCACTCTACAGAATATAAAAATGTTGAACTTACCTCTATGTAACTCTGGGAACAGCCACTCTGGCTTTCCAGCTGCACGTGGGTGAAGTTCACTTGTATTTGCTCTCCCTGAGGCTGCCTTATGATATAGATGCATTGCCTGTTGTGAGGGAAAGGTCCAGACAGCTCTGGAAGGAGTATTTCACCCTCTGGGTCTGTGTAGTTCCCTCCACAAGGCAGATCCGCTAAGGGGAACAGAAAAGAGGAGGAAAATGTCATGTGGATTGTGTTGCTCTGGCTTCCAGACATTGGATCTAATTTTTACACACACACACACACACACACACACACACACACACACACACACACACACAATCATAAACCCACTTTATTCACCCTGTGCAGGCTTAAGCTTCTAATTACAAGATATTCAGTTTGACGTGCATTTGTGGGACATCCTTGTAGTGCCTAAAGAAATAGATATGGAGATGTGTGATCTAATTTACAATCCACTGTTCTTGTCTATAAATCGCTTTTTAAATATATTAATACTCTGCTTCATTCCAAAAAGATTTGAGATAGTTTATAAGATAGATGTGACAAAATAAAATACATAACTACATACATGGAGCAGATTAAAGGAAAAATGATCACAGAATATTAATAGCAAGATGTGGCCAGGGCGAAGTTGATATGCACAGAAAACAGCTACAAGGATCACATGAGTTCAGCCTCAGATTCAGCCTGAAGCCAAAGGAAATGGGGAAAGGGGACCAGTCAAGATGCCCATTGTTACTTTTCCTGATACTGAAACCTAAAGGGTATTTTTGCTGTGAATTCTCATTAAGGGCACAATGACGGATGCCAGGAACAAAACCCTCTGCATCCCTAAACTAAAAACCATAGAGCAGTTCCTTTGTTGTGTTGTTTGCATATTTGTTTGTTCTAAGGTATCAGTGCAGTTTGAAAACATAATACCTAGTAGTATTTCACTGGAAGTGACAATCTAGGGGCCACTAATCCTGGAAGCCGGCTGTTGTGCAGCTTGATCCGAGGATAAAATCCGGATAGACGGCATCGCTCACGGGAACAAGCTCTCTTACAGCAAAAAATCAAACACCCCTAGGGACGTGATGTTCTGAATTATTTAATTTTAGGTGCCTCATATATCTTTATTGTCATGTGGATACAATAATTTAGAGGCCAAGGGTTATTGCAGTATTAATAATAGAGCATTGGGAAGATAAAGAAAAAACATGGAGCTCTGAGAAAAATATTTATAAAGATGTGCTCTTAGTCTCAGAAAGTTAGGCATCTTCTGTATCACATTAAAATATAAACCAACTATAAACACAGCATTGGCCTTCAAGCTCCTATTAAGCTCCCAAGTGGCAGGTTACTTACAAGGGGATGTTAAGTAGGTGATATGGAAGCCTCGGTCGCTAATCTGGGTGTCAGAATGGAAATGAACCCTGGCAAAGGGCCCTGTGGTCTGGAGTGGTGGGACAGAGAGAGTGCTGCAGAATTTCCCCAGAACAGGGTCTTGACGCAAAGGACCATCTCGAATCTAAAACAAAAGAATGCATCCATTAAACTCAAAGTGGTCAGCTTTTAACAAATCGGGCTATTTTGTGCATTAACTTCAAATGATCTGTCATTTCCCTACCACATACATATCTAACACACGGTTAGGGTTCCCGAAGGGGTGGTCTCCCTCTCCCATCCTCCCATGCCTTATCTGCTGTCTGAATTTCAATTCCAAGTTCAGTTGTATCCTTTGAATTTTTCTCATGATGTTACTAATCTAAGCGTTTTCTTTCTTAGGTTTTTTGCCCCCCAAATGTTTCTTTTGAAATTATAAATTCCTAGTGACCTAGAAGAAAATAAATATAAGCAAATAAAAATAGAAGAAAGAATGCCAGTGATGCCAATAGATTCCAAGTTCCAACTGGAACTTGGACCAGGTTTGCAGGAGGATGAGAGGTCAGCAAGGAGGTGCAGTCAGATTGGATGCAATATAAAAACATTGTAATGAGTTTTAAAAATTCAACTTTGATAGTAATTAAGTACCACAATAATGATGATGAGGCCTTAAAAATCCTGTTTTAATTGTTGTTTTTTTTAATCTATTAAATAATCATGTTGATCTCTCTATAATTCTGAGGTAATTGCAAATTCTACACTATGTAGACCACCAAGGAGTCGATGAACTAAAGAATATTTTAATCTGGTCAATTTTGTCCATTCAAATTACTTTTTCTATTAGCAGCAAAGTTATAAGGCAGTGTTACTTTATTCTTACATTTAATTGGTTTCTTGAAATACTGTAACTTGATGAGAAAAGAGAGATACTTCAACACCATCAGAGTGATTGATACTTTCTATTATACGGTATTCAGGAATTAACATGTCAAAATGAAAAAGGCCTCCAATTTTAATTTGATGGAATTTATTGAAAACTAATTTCAAGAAAACTCACTTTACTCTCAACATTTAAATGATCATTTTGAAAAAATTTTCTAGGGAGAGGCATTCCAGTCATTCCCAAAGGTTTCAAATCCATTATCACAATGGCCAAATTACTAATGACTTTTACTCATGGAGATCCTGTTTGACAGCCGCCTCCTTCTATCTTTTATGAATAATTCCATAGCACTCCACACTTCTCTAATGGACTGGGAAAAGCATATTGTCCTTCTAGCATTACTGCAAGGGGTACTGAGATTTATGGTGATAAAAAATACAGGACAACCAAAGAACTCAATCTTCTCAATTATCTTGTCAGTCTACAAACGGAGAGCGACATTTCTGATGTTCCTATACACAGAAATACAATAGCCTTTTTTTTTCCTTCTCCGTGTTTTAATCTTTTACTAATGGTAAGCAGGAAGGGCTCAGGCTAACACCGCTTCTCTCAATGATAATTATCAATACATCCCAGGAAGACTCACCACTTATCAACCTAGTTCAACACAATCACTATTAACTTATTTTTTTCATGAAACACTATAATCAGGCTGGAAAATACCTCGCCAGTCTACCTGAAGATCTGAATCTGCATTGGAGGAGATGGCCATTACTTACTGTTTATTTGATTAATTCTGCTTTTGTCATGGCAGGGGCCTGGGCTTCCAGGTAATGCCGGGAAAAGGAAATGCAGTTATTTCCCAGATTCAAATGGAACTCAGAAAAAGAAGTAAGAAGCTGGCACAATTAAAAATAGGGACTTAGCAAGACTTGGACATTGACTGCCTATTGAAAAATACATCTAACTACTGACAATAAGTTGGGGTTATCCACAAGCATCACTAACCATAGCGCCCTGAGTCCTAATCATACCATGATAGGCTCTATCTAAATGTAATTATTTACCTCAAGATAATCTTTGCTGCAATTATCATGGTGCTCCAGGCTCAAAGTCCCAAAAGTAAATGTTATCAGGAGGTCAAGACTGGTTGTAACATGCCAGACACAATCTCTTCCTGGGGGGTAGTTTCCGGGATACCCCGGAGATTGTATAGAACCATAAGTACCACTCAGTATACCTCCACACTCTGAAAGAAAAGGGAGAAATAACTTTACGTTTGTATACAAGTTATAATTCCTGTAGAATGATCATAGCCCTTGCTGAAAAAAGCCAAACTTCATTTAAACAGCTATGAGCAGTTTTGGACACCCTCATAAGTTAAATAAGACTTCCAGTTTTCCAGTATTATAAAGTTATAGATCTAGAAGTTTTAATTGATAAATAAATGAATGGCTCATGCATTGAGCTCTGTGCTTATAAGCCATCATAGGGTGATGATTTAAAACACAGGGCTGAACTGTCTGAGGGACTATCATATAGCTAAAGTATTCATTTTATAAATGAAGCAATTCAAATATCCATGGTGGTTAAGCCACTGGCCCAGGAGTAGAGCAATAGAGGGGCTGAGCCAGGCTTTCTGAAACCAACCCCACTACCATCTCCACTATATCACACCAGCCCCCGTAAGTTGCTGGCCAATGACTGAAAGAATTTTTCCTTCACTAAGACACACATTTATTTAACAAAGAGTCGGTGGTGGCTTATGAGAAATGCTACTGAAAAATTTAAAAGAAAACGCAAATTATACATACACACACACACATATGTGTACACACAATGGAATATTATTCAGTGTTCAAAAATAAGAAAATCTTATCATCTATGACAATGTGGATGAAACTGGGGGATATTATGCTAAATGAAATAAGTCAGACATAGAAAAACAAATACTACGTAATCTCACTTATGTGTGGAATCTAACGAAGTTAAACTCATAGTAGCAAAAGTAGAATGGTGGTGGCCAGGAGTTGAGAGGTGCGGGAAATGGGGAAATGATGGTCAGAGGGTACAACATCTGAGTTATGCAGGATAAATAAGTTCTAGAGATCCAATGTTGAGCATGGTGACTACAGTTAATAATATTGTGTTAGATACTTAAAAGTTGCTAAGACAGTAGGTCTTAAATATTCTCACCATACACAAAAAATATGGTAACTATGGAAGGTGATAGGT